CAGGAATTCGCCGGAAAAGTCCGACCGTATTTTTGACCGGAATACTGCTTCCATGTTCCAGCGATTTCCCGTGTTTTCCTGCAGGATATGGTGACTTTCCCGCATATTCCCTGGAGTATCCTACGGGATCCGGTGGCCGGAATGTTCGACCTGGGCTTGGCCGAAGTCGAAAAAGAGCGATCACTACACGAATTGACAAGGCAATCCAACGGAAAATAAAGGTGAATCGGCGAAAATCTGCTTCGTGAGTCAAACATGAAATTGAAAAAGAGTTGAAGATAACAATATCAAATCAAACAGTTCGTCGTCGAACTCATGAAGTTGGGTTATATGGACGTTTTGCTCGAGAAAAGCCCTACGTAAATAAAGCAACCCGGCTCAAGCGTTTGACCTACGTGAAAATGTACCGAGACAAGGCCATGACATTCTGGAAACAGGTGTTATGGTCAGACGAATAGAAGTACAACCTTTGGGATCGGATGGGAAGGTTATGGTATGGATGACACCGAAGGAGGAATTCAATCCAAAGTGTACTGTTCCAACAGTGAAACACGGAGGCCGAAATGTGAAAGTTTTGCTTGGAACGGTGTTGAAAATTTGTTCTTCATTGACGATAATATGACGGGGGAGATGTACAAAGATATTCTGGCTGAAAATTTGTTTCAGTCGTCGAAGAAATTGAAATAGGGACCGGACATAGTATTTCAACACGATAATGATCCAAAACATACCTCACGTATCGTGAAGAATTGGCTCGGCAAACATCGTGTGAAACATTTGATTTGGCCACCATTTTCACCACCCAGGTCGAACAGTACGGTCCGTATACGACCGTGGATGGTTACTTTACGACTATTTTACGGGTGAAAGTTTGCCGTAATATCTGGCGCAGTAATACGGACCGTATTATCATGAGAGTACGGAGGACAAACATCCGTAAACCGAGTGATGTCATAATATCCTTACACCCGGTAACGACTTATTAGCACAAACACGCTACAGTATCCACATTAGGTGCATCCACTTTTGGGTATCCGAATTTGGGTATTCACATTTGGGTATCCACATTTGGGTATTCACATTTATGTATATATATATGCTTTGAAAAGCTGAGCAATTTGAGTTGTTTTGGTGTATCCACTTNACCACAAAACAACTCAAATTCCTCAGCTTTTCAAAATATATATATATAAATGTGGATACCCAAAAGTGGATACCCAAAAAGTGGATACACCAAAACAACTCAAATTCCTCAGCTTTTCAAAACATATACATATACATAAATGTGGATACCCAAATGTGGATACGCTTAATGTGGTTGCATCAGATTGTAGATGCACTAAGAATGGATACTCCATAAACTATTGCTGCATAGGGTATTGTGACGTAAACCTCTCGATACCCAGTGTAAAGATATTATGACATCTATGCGTAAACCATAAAAATTCAGTCCCGTTTACGGTGCCGTATTACTGTGTCAGGTATTACGGGCAAATACGACCTATTTACTGCCGTAAATATACCGTTTTGACATCGTTTACCGTCGATAAACAGACCGTAAACGAGTCCGTTTTGATCAACCTGGGCGGACATGAATCCGATAGAACATCTTTAGGACGAACTCGAACTTCGTATGAAAAAGCGGCAGCCAAAAAACCAAAAAGAACTCCGAGAAACACTTAAAGCCGAATGGCAAAATATCGGACCAGACGTGACGAACAAGCTGGTCGAATCTGTTCCAAATCGTTTGTACGAGTGTTCCCGTATGAAAGGATATCCAACAAGATACTAAAACTGTGAAAATAACTTTTTTTTATCAAAAACATGTTGTTTTGTTCTACTGGTTGATCAATTTTGGAACGATGAAAAATGGGGTGTTGTTGAATTTTTTTAAATAAAAACTGAACCAATTGGTATTTTGAATCAAAACTTTGTATATGAGTGCTAGACACCATGCACTACGATATGCTGAAAACTAAATCTATCTAACACATTTGGCCTTTGAGATATGAATAGAACAAAAGAAATCAATGAGGTGATTGATCAATTTTGGTACTCACTGTAAGTTTATCTGGTAATATTTTAAGTGCATAAACATGTATATGTGATCCCGATATAGATACATTGTAACCAACTGAAAAATGAAGATAGCTATTCAGTTTTTTCGAGCACATGACCAGTAAAATATTATTTGATTGTGAAGCCTCTTCATATAGTCGCAAAATCAAATCTATCTGTTGCTAACATAGTAGCCTTGGTTCGTTCAGTTTTAATAATATTCTGTAGAATAAGTGATTGAATTAAATATGTGTAATATGCATTTTTTCGTATCTTCAACGGAGTTGCAAACAAACAGATTTAGCAGTAAAGAAGAAAAAGAAAACAATTATTTCTTGTTTTTATTTTTATTTTCTTGCTTAGAAGAAGATAAAGTACAATACAAATACTAGGGATACACCCTTGAAAATCATAGTTCATCTTTGTTTTTTCTCGGTCAAATTTAATATATGATCCATAAAGAAACACAAGCTAATCTATTTACATGCTATTTAACGTCGTTTAGAATATTGATTTGATGGTGATGAACTATGTTTCCGCTTCTCTTTTGATGTTGATGATAACGATCGATGATTTGATTTCTATAAGAATCGTATAGAATTTCAAAATAAAATCGATTGTTAGATATATATATTCATACCGAATTCGATGTATGTGCATTTTCGTCAAGTTCTCGTTTTCGTCGTTCTTCATCACGTTCAGAATTACGTTGAGCTAGTTCACGATTTCTTTCAGTAATCTAAATTTTGAAAAACAAACTATCAGTGGAGTATTTCTTGAAATTAAAAATTGCATACTTGTTCTTCTGTCAAAGGTAACCAATAGATTGATGGTTTTGTTTTTGTTTTACGAAAATAATCATCGAGTCCTTTCGTTGGTGATTCAGTGGGCTTCACTAAAATTGAAAAGCATTTTCTTTTTATTGCATACCTCATGTTTTTAATGATAACAAACCTGGCTCGTTTTCTTCAGTTATCAAAAATCCATGGTATGACTTTTTCTCTAATTTTGGCACATCCCATTCTTGTACATCTGAACTATTTTTCTTCACGTGCGATTTCTTTTCATCACTTGGACTAGCAGATCGACGTGAGGATATCGTATTTGATTTGTCTTGAATAATACGATCGACTGAATCTACATATGAGAGAACAAATTTGATATTTACAAAAAATAAAATATTTCAGTTGTTTACCAATAGACATTTGATCCGGTGGTAAATCATGAGTTTTACTGAATTCCAACTGAAACCAATAAAATATTGAAATGAAAAGAGAACAGAAACTAAAAGAGAACTTTACTTCAGTTTGCTGTGCAAATCGAATAGATAATGCTTTTGGATTAGTTGATGGCCATCGACATCCGTCCAATGCTTCACGAGCATTTTGTGCTTCTTCCAATGTATCATACTGAATAAACAAATAATTTTAAATAGGTACAGAAATTTAATCATCAAGAAAAAATATATTCACAGTGACTAAACATTGACTTTTTATTTTATCAAGCCAAAATTCTCCCTCTACCAATGTACCATAACGACGAAGGAGTTCTTTTAATTGAAGAAGACTAAATGGACGAGTTAGACCACGAATATACAATATTTGACTTAATGGTTGATTTACTGCAGTCGTATTTTTTATTCGTACTGGTTCATCTGTCATTATAGCTAAATAATGAAACTATGTTGTTTCTTTGTTAACGTTATATATATATATAAATTGGCGTACTATTTGTTTTTCCATCCATTGATACCTTCGATTCAAATGATGCAGGAGCATATGTTGATATTGAATTTGTTTTTTTTCTCATATTAATATCATCGTTTAATGATGATGGTTTAATCATCTATGAGAAGACGCTTTTTAATTAAAGAAATCTGTATATGATTAAAAAATGACACTTACATTAACATTCATAACAACAGTTCGATTAGTATGAAGTTTTTGATCAGCCAAGTCTCCAATAGTCATCGAATCAGAATGATGAAAATCAGTACTAATATTTTTATCAAATACCGGTTCATTCGTTGCTTGTCCATTATTAGGATTATCGTCATCAGTTTGCTCATTTATTGAAGAATCAAAGTCATCATTAACAACAGATTCTGGTAACAAACTTATGTCAGGAATCAATGTCTAAGTGAACAAAACAAAAAATCTAATTTTATATCATTTAAAAATACCTTTTCCAACTGATATCATTTTTTTTCTTTTAATAAGTAGAAAAATTTTCAGTAAACTAGATACTACAATGACAACATTGTACAATGGAATTACTCTCCCAAGTTTTTCTCAACGCAAATATTCATATTTTTGTGTTTTGAGTTTTAACAATAGTAGTCTGAAGTCTTTCAAAATTTCTCACTGAAATTATGAACTACAATAGCAGATATCAGATGGAAATGTTCTTCTGTTAGAAAATATTTAATTTACTTTAAGAATTTCAGATGATAAATTTATTTTATTATTTGTTGATCGATTAAGACCTTTCATTGTTGGTGATAGTTGAGAACAATTCGTTTTAAGTTGTGATTGTTGTGCAGCTGTTTTTACGATTGGACTATTAACCGGTGTTGGTTCGTCTTCTTGAAAAAGAAAAGATATTACTTAAATGAAGCTATTAATACTAGGAACTACACGAAAATGAAAGCAACTAAAAAACTATCCTACTAGAAATCAAAGTATTTAAATCTAGACAACAACCGATTTTTACATAGTTTGACCGATGAAACATTTTTAATGCGATGATTCCCGATTTGAGAGATACTCATTTTCTGTTATCTGTGATTGCTAGTTAAATTTAAACGTTTCAGTAGATAGAGTTTGACTAAACTTTGATTTGCTTAGATTTGGTAATAGTGCTGATAAATTTTACATATTATTTATAAAAAAAAAAACTATTTACCCTTTATAATCTCTGATCGTTCGATTGTAGCTGCTTTTATAAAATCAGTAGATAAATCCGCATGCGATGGCCGATCAATCACTTCATTCTGATTTCTTAAAATAGAAATTAACTTATTGAAAAGTTTTTTTCTTGTTTAGAGAAACTTTACTTCATATCATCATTGGCTACATGTGTGACCGGCTTTGGTTCTTTAGCAATTGTTACTGATTGGTTATCTTGTTGTTGTTCTGACTTCGTCTCATTTAAACGCTGTTGTTCGTCGGGCAACGGGTTTTCTTTAAGAATAGACTCTAACTTGGCACTATTACTGCCAACAGATGGTGCATGTGACTCTCCTGCTCCTCCTTCTCCTACTATTTTTTCTATATCTTTCTTCTCTTCCTCAATACTCTTACTCACAGACGATTTGACCTCTACGTTGTTTCCATTGATTGACAGATCCAAAACGTTTTGTTCACTGTTGATCAATTGTTGCTTCGATGTTGTATTTAAATTTTCATTTGATGAGCAATTGATGGAAGACTTTTTGTTACGTGCTCGTGTTTGTCTCTCCGGTGTTGAAGAAACAATCGAAGTATCATTCACGTTAGCAACATTCATTGGTGATAATTGGTGATGTTCAACAGATGACGATATGGGTAATTTTTGTGGACTAGCTATTGTTGACGCAGAAGATGAATATTGAAGAGTAGCCTGAAGTAAAGCAGTATTTAAATTTCATCATTTCTTTCAAGGTCTTTCTTTTACTTGATCATCAATAGGTGTTTCAATCTGTGGAAGTTCAACTGAGTTATTTAATGATGAATTTTCAGTTTCCTTATGTATAGCAGCATACAATTTAGCTATAAGATCTTTTTTAATTCCTGAAGTCGAACAACCACGCCGTTTTAGTTCAGCACGTAATTCAACATTTGTCATTTTATCAATATATGCTAATTGATCTTCTGCCATCGTGTTGTCAACAAGATGGTTAAAGGTAAAAGAAAAAGAAAAAGAAAGAAAGTATCTATAAAAAAAAGAATTCAGCCGAGTCAAATATATTTCATTTTTTAATATAGCAGTGTTATCTAGATCTGTTGCTTTTTTTTTTGAAATAATCACAATAAAAAACTTTGATAAGATAAAGACGGAAAAAAATTAAAATTGGTTTTCATAGTTCGTTAACGGCTCAATTTTTTGCTGCCGTAAATCTGAAATAAATAATAGCCAAAGTCACTATCAGAAGAGGAATAGCCAATTTCATCCAAGACATACCACCACCACCACTCGTTTCATTGTAACCGATGAAAGGACGAGGCTAAATAAAGTATATTATAGTTTATTTTTTGAATTATTCAATTCATTTTTTTTTAACCTTAACGGGTATCTTGCCGTCATCCTGAAAAAAGTCATTCAAATGAAATAATTCAATAAAAGTCAAATAAATAAAGTTACTGAATGAAGCTCAGCTATTTCAAATTGTTTCATTTGTTCACGTGCATCAGAACTATGTCCAACATCTTCAAACGCACTTGACGCATCTCTACCCTGTTGCTCTTTTAGAACTTCTTCACCACCTGGGTGCTATAACAATAAAACATTTTTAATATAATAAACAGTCAGAAAAACATAGATTAATAGCAAACCTCATCAATAAATTTTGTTACATCATATACTCGATTATTAATTACGATAACACATTTTTTTTCCTTTTCAACTAAATCTTTAACTTCCAATAGAGTTAACGGTTTTTTACCAGATGAAATATTAGCCATTTGTCTGATGAGACACGTAATAGAATGTTTGAAGAAAAATAAATACAATACCTAAAATGATGAAAGTTAGAATCGTCCAAAGATCAACATTAAGAAATGAACTCGTTTTTGCGTTCTTTCGAATTTTTTTTTATCAGGGACGTATAAAATAAGTATGATTGGTGTTGTTATGCTTATCTAAGGCTTGACGCGTTTTCTTAAATAGGTATATATAAACCAATGTTTATCCTTGAAAATGAGTAAATTTTTTTCCAACAGTATTTATTTATTTATTCAAATTACAAGTTAGAATTGTATTGCACAGTTTCTATTTGTAAATACGTACAGATAATATAAAAATGTTTTCAATAGATGTCACTTATCAACAGAAGGATTGTGATAGCGGCGCATATCAGACACTCCTAATTCATATATCAACGATGATATTCTTGTACCTGAAGGTATAGGAAATCAAAAGTACACTTCAATGTTTGTAGCAGCAAGAATCTACAATGGTGATAAAGTATTCATGATTCGTGTGATATCGGAAGATTATATACTCTATTTTACACAGTGATCATAAAAATAAATTTGTATATTCTTTAATATGATGATACTTACGGCTATTCATGGCAACATTTTCCTCAAGTGGGACATATACAGACAATTATCAAGCAGAGTTTCTAATTTCAACAAGCACCACCTCTAACCTAACATTGGCGATCATTGGATACTACGATTATATTTCTCGCTTGAAGCCCGTGTCATTTTCTGAATTTTGTTTTTGTGTTACGGCAACTTTTTGTTTTCGGGAGCTTTTATCAAGTTTCTAAGCATTTAAAATCTTAATAGTTTTCGTAATCTTGAGACGACATATGTTCGGCAGTTAATCAAGATATTATTTTATGTGTCTGAATATGCCTCGTCACTTGATTTATTTACAAATAAGAAAGCTTGGTTTAGATTACTTTATTTAATTAATATGATTACGATTCTACAGAAAATTTCACACTATGCAGGATAGTATTCATCGGAACATGAACATAAGGTAAGCTTATTAACTAAATCGAAACTTTGTCATGCAGATAAATATAAATTCTTGCTTAGAAAAATACAAAATTTTATTTCACTTAGTAACAGAGAGGGAAAAAAATTTGTTAGCATACTTCTAACTTTCAGAAATATCTGTGCTAGTAATAATTAGATTCCAAGCAGAAAATGATTTCATTCAAATAAAAAAAACTTAGATCCTGCTCTTCAATTTATACTGTTAGTAAGCTGTGACATTGAGCCAAACGTTGCAACTCTCAGTAACAATGATAGCACTATTTTAAAATATAATCGTCGTTTCTTTTTTTGGTTCGCTCTATGTTACTCTTTCTATGACGCCTAGTAAAATAATAGAATAAAAGAGCACTCAAATATCATGGATAAACAGTTCTATTTTTTTCCCTGTGTGTGCCATCTGTGAAATGTAATGATAGAAAAGTAACTAAAAAAACAGAGAAAAAAAAGAAAAAGACAATATTAAATAAATTAAATATTTCTTCTATCCTAAAGAAGAAGAAAAAACAGAACATACCAATTTTTTTTTCAAATTAACTGACAAGAAGTAAAATACACTCGTAATCGAGTTATTATAATTGAAATAAAATGCAACATCATCAACCAATTATTCAATTGTCCGATCACGTTAAAAGTAAAATAAAAGATCGTGAACCAGGTTCCTTTAGTCGTTCATCAGATGAATTAATTCTATCAGATCATACGAATGAAGACAATGGTAAGATTATTTTCTCTATTTCTATTTATTAATACCTTACTTAACTTACAAATAGAATCCTTTCGTTCACCATCTCTTCAACATTTGTATCGGAAACGTAGTTCCACATTTATAACTCGTCATACTCAAAAACCTTCAATTCCTGAATATGCTATTGTAAATAAAAGAAATAGCTGTCAATCAATACGGACTCCACAACGGCAAGAACCATGTCAAGAATGTTTTCATCGGCAAAATCTTATTCAAAGTGCTAATCAACAATTACTACGAGCTTATAGTGAAAATCGAAGATTAACTGAACAACTTCGTTCATTTATTTCATTGAATCGTCAATATGAAGAAGATAATTTAAAATTAAAACAACATTTAATGAAAATGAGTGCTTATCTTGAAGAATATAAAACACATTTCAATCAACTTAAACAAACATTTATAGCAGAAAAGAATAATCAAGTACAACAAGGTTTTGACAATGATCAATTAAGGAGACTTCGACATGAGATGCATGTTTGCAGACAAGTTGTAGCATCAAAACAACAAGAAGAACAAAAGAATATTGATTATTTTTCTCGTCAGCAATGAGATTAAAAAATAGATCACGTTTGGTTTATCATTATGTTTTACTCAAGCTTTTGTTTCCTTTTTCGTACTAATTGAAATATCAGTTTGAAATATATAATACATTGATTGCATGTTTGTTTGATACTAGACGGATAATTACTGAATAAAAATACAATCTAATGTTCTTTTCTTGCTTTTCTGAAGAAATAAACATTTGGATTTATCGATGTGACTTTGTTTGAAAATATCGGTAGCTAATTGATATTTGTTTTTATCAATTGAGGAATAAATAAATTTTCTCAATAAAAACAAAAAATTACGTCCACTCTTAAGCGTGTTTTTCTTCGACGAATTCAGTCACTTTCTATGATCGATTCGCTTTTTAAAATGTTTTGATTGCACTGTTTAGAAGGAAACTTCAAAATATCATACATATCAATGTTTTATTTATAGCTATTGATTACGTGTGAGAGTCCACTTCTGAAAAACTGTACCGTTCTCATTGTACTAAAATATCTCCATATAATAAAAGATACTAATTGATTGCCAAGATCTACCAACAAATTCGTGACTCTCTTTTCTTATTTAATTTCTGCACAAAAAACGACAGACGAATCAAAATCTACCAAAAAGAATGTTCATATTACTCACAACGTTTTCTAAGCATGCAAAAGTGTGATCAATTGTCATGAGTGGTATCAAAATTTATCATTAGTTAAATACAACCAAATGTATTGTTTTATGGTTACTATAAACAAATTGGTTGACGATACGACAATTTTACTCGAATTCTGTCTCTTTTTTGCGATATATGTTAGAAAATAAAATGATCTACATCACATGCTTTGTTCAAAAGTAGTAAAAAATGAATAAAAGAAGGTCGAAGTATGTCTCCTTTATATATATATATATATGTCAGATATTAGACTTTTTTTTTCATAACAAAGCTCTCGTTAATTGCAAGAAGAGTTTTCCATAGGTAATGAAACGTTCGTAACTCAATTGAAAAAGATCGGTTTATTTGCACTGATTCATATTTTCGTGACAGGATATGTGCAATAAATTTCATCCATTCAGTTTTGGTGATAAATGAAATCTTTCTCTCAACATAAGAAACTCACCAGAGTTTCTTTGTAAGAAATTTGTCCGCGAAAATAAAACAAAAATAGTAAAATAATCACTTTTCAAATTCGAAAAATTAAGTATCATTATTACAAAGTGACTTTTAAAGATAGATATAGTAGTTTACCTTTTATGAGAAAATAATGAAAGATTTTTATTTTTATTTTCTACGAACCGAGCAAGTGGCAGTGTCAAATGAAGAAATTATATTTGAGTCTCAAAAAAAGCATATTTACAAAGTAAGTGACGACTTAATTGTATTATTGATAGCTACATATTTCGTCATCATGGTTCAGAGTTTGTTTTGGTAACTTCTTCTGAAGGATAGGAAAGCGCGCATAATGAAGTACTTATTTTCATTCTGGAATTATGTGGGAATAATGAACTACCAGTTAGTAGAGCAGCTTCAGCAGCCTTCATCCATTGTTGTAATTTATATTGAACCCTCTCGAATCGATTATAATATTTTTCAAGACATTTTTGCAGTTCCTAGAAAATGATAGTATTTTTTTAAGTTTAAAAGACAAAAAAGAACGTGAATATCTAACGTTACTTACCATGCATTTGTACTCTTCAATTTCATTGAGATTTGTTTTTAAATTTCTTGTAAGTATATCTTTTACTTCTTCATGCATTAATTCAAGCTTAATCAAAACAAATTGAATTTATTTATAGTAGCTTCTAAATTTAATCAATTCGGTTTATTTTCAATTTCCTTTGCTAATGTAAACGCAAATCAAAACAAAAACGTAAATAGTGACTTTAGTACAATATTTCATTTCCGCCTAGAGTATTTAAAGATGATAGTCAAAGTTAGGTGCATACTCAAATGTTTCTGTAATATCAAAGGGATAGTTAAAATATCTTACAATGATTTGAGTATTTGTTGGTACATAATTCTGCCGATTACAAGAAGTAAATCAAGCAAAACCATACTGAAAAATTCAAGCACTAAAGAAAAGTATATGAGAATATTCTTTTTGAATAATTCGATTTTGAACGTTTCATGTTGACAATAAAGAGCCGAAAGAATGCTCTCGTTGATGCATTTAATAGAAAAATGATCTTTGTCTTCTTTTCAGAGTTTCTACTTAGAATTCTATTTAAATTACCCTGAGCAATAGCGAGAACAAATATTTTCAACATGAGAAAGAAAGGTACCCGAATGTTTTTTCATTTTTTATGGCATAAAAAATAGACATCTTAGAAAAATTGAAAATATTTCATATTGTAGCGATGTCATAACTATCTTAGTCTTAGTTATTATAACCAACTGATAATAAAGAATTCTAGTAGTTGATAAATCTAATTTGGGATTTTTCAGAAATACTGTAAATTATTTTTGGTCTTTCAATATTCTAGCTAGAAGTCGAGTTCTCTGTCCAAAGTAGCAATAAGCTTTTTATAATCGATGACGAAAATAAATGAAACTCTACCAAAGAATCTAGTAGAATCATTTTAGGAATTTTATATCTATATATGTATTAAGGAAAAACAATGATGATAGTTTTACCTTTTGAATAAGGCATGCGCTAGCTTTGGAATTTGATTGAACACTTTCTCCTTTCAATTTTAAAACCTTATCTCTAAAATAAAACAATTAACGGATTGATTGTTCGAATACAAGGTTTGTCAACATACCGATTGTTTTCTGTTTTTTCAATCTCAATCTCTTCTTTCTTCTTTTGTAATTTAACTTCTTCATTTACACGATTTTTTTCTCTAATAATCAAAATGATTGGTACTAGAAATAGTAATTTGATGTTTACACTTACTCTTGAAGAATATTATCAATTTGACGCATTTGTTTATTGTAATCAGCTTTTATTTTGCCATCTACTGCTTTATAATACTTAAAGAAACAATCAATTCGATGGAAAAACTTTCTAATAGATATTTAGATTTTTAGAAAATACCAACTTCATTGAAATTTTTACATTCTAATTCTTCTTGTAGATGAAATTTTGTTGAATAAAGTTCAAGTAAAGTTTCTTCAGATTCTTTAACATCCTTTGAAAAAAGATTACTTCAACTTAGAACGAATCAATTAATTTTATAAATTTGAGAATCACTTTTCCTTGAATAACGCTTGCCGTTCGAGGTCTTTCCCCATGAGAATATGCTTGATCATGCTGAAGATTAAGACATTGTTGAAAACGAGCTTCTTGTTTTTCAATTTTCTGTAATACGAGAATAAATTAAAGTATACATTATTTGAACACTATAAGAACTACAGATTACATTCACATGACTACTAAGGAAGACTTACAACTAGATAATTGCTTTATAGTTAAAATTCAGTGCGTTCGACATACTCTGAGCAGCTACAAATAATCTAACAGAAATTTGGCTTTTTAATTCATGTCTATGAAGATCATGGATTTATATAGGATTTTGCATGTTGATGAGCTGGTCCCTCTACAGTATTGTAGTGATAATCTTTTTTTTTTAAATTCTCAATTTAACTTTTTACATGAACATAAACATTTTCTGATTATTTAGCTGCAAAAAACCTCGGTGTTTCTCGTTGTGCCTATGTTAATGTACAGTTATGATACAATTCTGTCTTCTTTGTCGCTTATGTGCCTGAGTAGATTCGATGCTAATATTTCAGGATATGATTCAAGCAAAAGTTCAGAGCTTTTCATAAGAAACTTATAATTTTACATAACAATTCTGTGTACGATTTCGAATTCAAATTCGGACAATCCATTTTCCTAACTTTCGGAGCTCAATCAGAACAATCGTGTAAACAGCATAATGAAAACGGTGTAATTCACTCTTTTTCTCGCACTTGAAATCGAAAACCGGCTACAAAGATGTCATAAAGCTTGTTAAACAATCAGGAATTTTCTCATTTCATTTTCCGAAAATCTACTCAATGTCTGGGGAGACTTCCATACTTGAAAACCAGTTCTTCAAACACAAAATGGTCTAACAGAAATATTTAAGTATATAGCTATATATTTAAAACTGTCCTTGTTCACAAAAGTCAGTACACAATTCTAAAACATCAATCAGTAATACGTCTTTCTGTTTGTACTACATTTCCGGAAAATTCTACATATCAGTAGATAATTTCGTAAAATTTAATTTGATACAACATATCATTCTGACGAATTATGAAATGTTTAAATGAAATTTGATATCAATCGCCTATGACTATTCGAATATTTCTCTTCGAAATCGGTGACAAAAAGTTTTAGTAAAAGAATTGAACCTTAAATAAATACCTTGTGAAAATCAACTGATACACGCCGTAATTTGCTTTCCATATTTCGATCCCCTTTGATAATTTCTTTTGTTAAAATATCATGTAATGAAAGTACTTTGCATAAAGTTTTTCTGTCATGCAATCTACTAGCAGGAACTAAATGTTTTTCATACATTTTTGTTTCATTAGTTGAAATTTTTTCAGTTTGTTCTCTAAATATAACTGCTGATTCCATCGATGTTGAACTATGATTTCGTACTAATAGTGTCGGAACGATATCCTCACAAGAAGTCTGTTTATTTAAATCTTGTTCTAATTTATTTTTATGTATAGGTTGATTCGTAAGTGGTTGAACAAGTTTCTTTGCAATTTCTTGATCTTCAGGTTTAATATGAATATTTATTCGAATAAATATGAATAAACTTGATGCATTAATAGGTATATTCATTTGATTTCGTAATACAACATAACGATAGCCAGGTTGTATATGAGCAATAGGTATAAAGCTTTGTCCAATAAATGTTCCATCTTCACTTGAGACAGCAAAACGAAGTCCAGCCATGTCCGGTAAACTAACGTTTGGAAATCTAATAGGGTATTTATTCGAATCGGTACTAGTATTATCATAAATAGCTTGAAAACCATTCCAGTGTTTCGAACGCACAAGAAATTCATGTCTTTTATTCATATCACCATACATTCCATACAGTTGAACATCAACAAAGGTTGGCTCACGATCTTGACACAAGAATTGACCAGATATAACTTTTATGTCGATTTCATAACCAGCAACGTTTTCAACGTTCGTTCGAGCTTTTGGATCAAAAGAATTTTTTAACTGGCATAATGTTGGTGGTTTTTCTATATAACCACAAGCGTTGTTGAATGAAAATAAACCTAAATTAAGTTGCATCGGCACATCTAAAAATAATCAATTTATTTAAGAAAAATTTCAATCACAGTTCAAATATATTGATTTGAAATGTAATACTATAGTCTTACTATACTAATGGAGAATATGCTAAGCGAAAATTGTCGAACAGGCTATACTAGCTAGCCAACTTCAATCGTTATACACTCATGATATCGACAGTAGATCTCAACGTATGATTAAATATTATTTTAATAAGCTCTGAAGCACTGGTATTAGTTATTTCCTAAAGTTACAATAAGATTGTTTTTATGCTGATCATATGGACTACTAGTAGATCAAGTTAATTCAATGTTGAACACATTTTATGGATGTTCTATTATACTTTAACTTTTACTGTGAATACAATTGAGTAATTTTCTTTTTGATTTCTAAAGATTTCTGTAAAAGAAGTTAGACATCGATTGTTCTCATTTTCATCAGAAGCATTGTTAATAATAATTGATTATGTTGTCTAATTGTTTGCATGGAAAAATGTCAAAAAAAACTTACATTCACTAGATTTTTCTTTCAAAAAATATAATATGAATTCTACAAAAGTGAATTATTATAGATTTGTATGCTTTGTCTTACCTAATGTTTGATAATTCAATGCACACATTTGACATCCAACAAGCCAATACATATATGGATTATAATTGCTTGATTCTAAACGTGTACCACGTGGATATATTCGGCTTATTTGTCGTTGATTATAAGCAACAAATTCTTTTGCTTGTTCACGAATTAAACTTAACGCTCTATCTTCAGAAAATGATGACATTTCAAAGCTCTTACTAAGTTGTTCTGCTTTTGCTAAGCTTTTAAATGATACCGGTACTAGATAATGAACCAGGTCCGACATAGCTTTTGTTGCCTTAGATTCACAAATGGTATCACCGTCGGATGGGGGATTTTCGCTTGAATTTTTTTCATTAACATCTGTACATTCTGCCAATTCATCAGGATCATTATTAAGAAAACAATGACGAGGACTTGCATTCAGTAATTGTTGATGACAGCGCAGCTTACCTATATCACTACTTGTATCACTACTAGTAGTTGCTGATATTGCATCTGGTGTTTGATTACCTATTTGATGATTATTGTTATTGCTAACTGGTGAAGGTGAGTTGGTACTGATTTTTTTATTTTTAATTAAAATTTTATATTTCAAATCATTTGGACTTGGTAATGGATAGTTTCCATCACATGGATGAGTTTTAAGTGGTTCAGTTATAAGATTTTTACCGAATACATCAACGAAGTATTGAGCCATTTTAGCTTGAGTTTTAGCACTAGATTTGAAGAATAGAATGACATGTGTTTTTGCTGTTTTTTTCACTTTGAAAATATTCGTTTATCTAATTTACCTGCAATGATTCTCGATTGATAGTACTAATGGATATGGAGTCACTTTAAAAGCATATTCTTTAATAGCAACAATCACTTCAATAAAGAGTACAGGCTTAACCGGTGTATTTTTATGTTTTATTTCAGGTTCATCACTTTTCTTTTCCGAATCAAGTACATCCAATTCAATACATCGACATCCAGTTAATAATACTTGTCGATACATCTCAATACTTGAACGTCCAGTCCATTGATACCCTTTTCAAAAAAAGAAAATTTCATTTTACTTATTGAAAATCATTAGATTTACAAAAACAAATATGACAACTAACCTGTCAGGTATGTATTATGAGATGACGAAATAAAATAATGTGCTAAAGGTTTATCCATATTCATACAGAGATCGAATTTTTTTGGATCAACAATTAAATTATCAAAGCTGAGTAAATATCGTAGAAATGATTCATTAGACATTCCTGTAAATATTTTTTAAAACAAAAAGAAAAAAGGATTCTCTAGTAAATGGATATAAATTGTTAATAGAACCTTTTTCTCTCTCATATTCGTCGTGTTCGGAATATTTTTTAATTACATCGTTTGCTTTTATTTCATAAAGATCCATTTCAGTTGCATCATTAAGTGTTTCTTTTTGCTTTTTCAAAAACACTTTCACGTTTTCCACATTAAGATACTGGCAATCTATTCCACCTCTATGATAAAAATGAAATTCTAAGTTCATACTATGCATGCATATCATTGATTTTCATATCTTTTAATATTATTTAAATTCTAGCAACTTTCCAATAATGTATTAAAAAATAATCTAATTTCATAATCGTTTTCGATTTTCATTTCTTTGAAAATGAATTTAAATCATAGAACATACTTCCTCTAAGTAAGATAAAACTATGAATTTGCCATTCTTAATAAGCTAATTAACGTTTTTAATGATACTTCGGAACTCGAAAATCTATTTGATGAAAGTTAAAGAAATGTATTTTGTCTGTGTTTCTTAAAACTAGAAATAACAAGTTGATATATCATTATATTAATGAAATTATTATTTTTTTTAAATAAAGACGAAATGTATGTAAATCATTAGAGACTTTAGAAATGCAATCAGTTTCTGGGGGGGGGGGGGGGGGGGGGGGGGGGGGGGGGGGGGGGGGGGGGGGGGGGGGGGGGGGGGGGGNAAACCAAACCGTTGCCCCCCCCCCCCCCCCCCCGATTGAAGTCAGATTCTCGAATTTAACTCACTATATCGTGTAAATTATAATGAAATAAGAGCATAGAAAAACTCAATTTAATTTTAAGAAACGTCTTGCTTTAAATAGTTATTTTTTCAGCCAATATCTTCATTCGTTCATTGGTGCTAGGGTAAATGATCGTCTGAATTTCAATTAGAAATTTCACATTGGTAACAGATTATTATAAGAATAACTTATAATAAACGTTTTCGATAATTCGACTGTTCCTATCCTGGAAGAAGAACATTCAACTTGCTTGTATATATCATTGATATACACGCTTCCTGAGAAGGATCATGACATAGACATAGAAGATTTCTTACAAATGTAGTATCTGAGTAGTGGTAATGCAAAATACAAAATAATTCATCTTTGTGCATATAATACTGATTTAAAAAATTAGTATGACACTTGAGTGACTCTTGTGCTAAGTTTACATAGAAAAAAAAGACTTACATTGCATTGAATAACTTTTCAATTTCATGACATTGAATCAAATTCATATATAAAGAAAAAAATTTATTGAAAGTAAATTCATTTGGATCAATCGTAGAATCCTAATGGATGAATTGTTGCAGATAAATAAATTGCTTTGATAATGTTCTTTACACTTACGATTATATTTAATTTTAAAGATTCTAATCTCTGATGTATTTCTCTTACTTTAGATGAATCACGATTATTTTTACATAAAAATTGAACTAAACTATGAAATATAAAAAGATGAAAAGAAGAAATAAATGAACGAAATTTAGAAGTAACATACTTTCGAACAGGAATCTTTCTTTTATCTAAATCAATTAAACCATGAATGATCTTTGAATGAATTTTTTCAAGACAATCTAAACTGGATAAATTTCTCAAAATTTGATTGTGTCCCAATTGAAATAATTTTTCAGTCCATTCCTATTGAATAGAGAAATTATTTCAACTATAGAATATGATAGTTTTTTTTTTGTTAATATTTATAATACTCGAGCAAGACTTGGTGATTCAAAATAAAAATGAACTATGCGTAATTCAGAAGCAACAAATGTATTTCCATAATAAATTGTAAGCCATTTCGATGTAACTGGAACATCGAGTAGGCCAATATGATTTTGATCAAAATATTCTACACCACCCTGGTATTATTAATTTAGTCAAAGAGTTTTTTTTTAATTTCAAAACGAGTTTTTATTTTACTTGAGGAAGGGAAACTTGTGAACCTGTACGTGTATCATGAATTAATGCAAGGTCAAAACATTCGACTTCCTTGAAGCAAAAAAACGTAATCATTAAGAAGAGTACTTTCTTTCCAGAAATTCATACAGACATACTTTTTTGACTCTATTCACGCATATTAGATAAAAACCTTTTGAATCTATAGATAAATTGACGATGATTGGAACCTATGAAAAATGTATAGATTTCATCAATTCAAAATTTATTTAGTTACTGCTGGAGGCTTTTTTATCTCTTCACACCATTTCAATGCGAATGTAGGCGTTTGTAAATGGACTGGAACTTCATTTAATTTATGTGAAAAAAGGCGGTTTGATACTCTGGCGGCCATTTCCTATAAAAGTAAATGGAAGAACAAAAAAGATACAAATAAAACAATGGCGATTATATTGTTGATTGTGATTGATGTTGCATATCTTTGTTGAAAAATAAAGTTATTGTTAAACCAGAAAAAAAAATTCTCAGAACTTATGCGCCAACGGGATATATTCGAAAGTATATTAGTATAGATTGGTAAGATGAATTTATAGTTCGAATAAGCCTATAAAAAGCAATATATCAAATATCGTTCTCAACGTGACGATTTTTTTTATTATAATTTCTATGCTGTTGCTGTTGTTGATAAAATGTTTGCTTTCTGTTTTTTTGTTTCGTTCTCCTGTATTATTCTTTTCGTACACGAACATACGAAAGACTGTTAATTCAAGACGACTGAATAAAATGAGAATGAAAATCGAAACTCTGTCAATCATACTCTGAAGAATTGTCCAATGGTTTATATCATAGATTCGATGGCGCTTTGAGTCGATTAATAAAACACGAAGGATACATTTCAAATAATTCTATTTTGATCTTTATTTCTTAATTAAACGTATGTTACTAATACAATAAATCAAAATTTCCTCAAAATATTGCAACATTTATTTGATGAAATTTCTCTAGCATAAAACTAGTACTTTTCTTATCATTGATTGTATTCATGAAGAACTTTAGTAGATCTGACGCCTTTTCAATAGTAATCTCTGTTCGTATTTAAAATAGGATGAGGTATTAGAAACGTCAGTGCAACAATGTATGTCTATTTTACGAGAATAGCTTTCGTTAAGAAACAGATAGATAGACAGTTGCAACATCTATTATTCAACACACGATAATCGAGAGAATTAGAAGGAGGAAGGGAAGATGTTTTTTTCAGTTCAGTAGTCAACTGACTTCATGAAAAGTGGACATGATAAAAGGCAAAGCTAGCGCATATAATTTCATATCTTTATAGAATTAGTAATTGTACTGATACTATTAAGTTTTTATTTCAACTGAATTGAAATTAATGCATTCAAATTGCTTCGAAACAAAAAATGAACAAGAACTATACATTTACGGAGATTAATAAATTTTGTTTCGAATTTATTTGCTAACTAGTATCAGATCAATTGATAGAAATCGGTGCTGTTAAGAAAGCGCATCTAACTTTATAACGATATAAAACCACCGGAGGCGTTAAATTTGCCTGATCCAGCGAAGATAATTCTTTTTATCGATTTATCATATCCGAATTTTAAACCGATGGAAAAGTACCGCTCATCATGTTCACTTTTCAACATATCCAGTAACATTTCACTTAATCGGTTGATCAATGAGCTAAAAAAAACTCTTAAGTTCATCTTGTTCTCACTATTGTACTGTATTGAATAGCAGATATTACATCTATCTTTCTTTTTCCGAACGAAAGCTATTCATACAGTAGCCATCATATTTCTCAGCAGACATTTTTCTGCTCGTATTTAACGAGCGCTAAAGATCAGAAATTTTCGTCTGACATCAGTTCAGTGAGTTTATTTTTGAGAACATATATTCCATATGATAATTAATCGTTTGGTTTAACCATAGAATTATTTTTCTTAATCACGAAAATCAGAATTAGATTAAGTGAGTCAAATGATAATTGACAGCTCTGTCTTTCTTAATCCAAATAGTTTCTTGCTTGACTAATTGTCTTTTAACATATTGTTTTCATAAGAACTTCTGGCATCTGCTTCATAAAATAAACATTATTTTCTTTATATCTATCGATACTTTGCTGTCGACATAACTGGATAAGAATTTTGGCGGACCTGCAATGTGTCTTACCAAGCGTGCTCGTAAATTAAATAGTTCTTTAGCCTGCCGGGGAAGTTTTAAACTTCCACAGGGGCCAACGACTATCTTCGTATAGTTGTTGGAGGCGACCCTGTGCTGCTGGTAGCCACTCGTCTGGTCATGAGACTAGCGACCTCTAGTTGGACATTAAACAATTATTGCTAACGAAAAGAAACATTATCGGTGCGTAAATGCACAAAATCATGTCTTTTTCGGTGGGTGGAACGTTAGATCGTGTGTGAAACAATCAAAGAAAGAAATTATAACCAATCAATTGAAACAATATAGAATACAAGTGGCCGCATCAAGTAAAACATGTATGTGTGATGCTGGTGTAAAAGTAGTTAACGACTACACGATGATCTATTCAGGCGCACCACATGAAATGAAAACACGAAAGGCTCATGGTGTCGCAATATGTCTTGATC